TTGTAACTCATTCAATATGTTTGTGTCTCAATGTAGTTAAGGATAGTCTTTGCTCATCACCAATGAGCAAACATTCTAAATCACTTGAATCTGTGGATTATAACTCAGCACAGGAAATAGTAGATAAGAGAATGTCTTTATTAAAAGAAAAGTATAAAGACATTTTTAGTGAGGATAGGTATCATGTTGGACTTATAAGATTAGAGCCTCAGAAGGTTATTCTTACTTCTGAATTGCCAATATCTTTACGCCCATATCGTTGCTCTCCTCAAGATAATTTAGAGATTGAGACACAAATTAAAAAGTTGTTAGAAAATGATATTATAAAACCTTCACATAGACCATATTCAGCTCCTGTAACAATGGTAACTAGAAGAGACGAGAGAAAAAGAAACAGACTTTGTATAGATTTTAGACATTCAAATTTAGTAACAAAACCAAAGGCGAACCAATTCCTCGAATTGATGATGTTCTTGATGACTTAACGAATGCAAAATATTATTCTACAGTTGATTTATGTTCAGGTTTTTGGCATTTGAAAATTAGAGATTTTGACACTGAAAAGTTTGCAATCACCACTAATTTTGGTTTATTTGAGTGGTTAAGACTCCCTTTTGGCTGTTAGAACAGCCTCAGTCTCTTTCAGCGTGCTATTCGCCAAATACTACAAAAACATAACATTAAATTTGCTAAAAATTTCTTTGATGATATTATAATTTATAGTAACTCTCTTGAAGAACATTTAACTTATTTAGGAAAAATTTTCGAAATTTGTAGGTTAGAAAATATCAAATTAAAAGGTTCTAAGTGTGATTTTTGTAAAACAAGTATTAAGTTTTTGGGTAATAAAATTTCCGAAGGTAAATGTTCTCCTCAGGATGCAAATATAGAGACAATTAAAAAAACTTCTTCCCCCTCATAATGTCAAGTTATTGCAGAGGTTTTTAGGAACGATTAATGTTTATCATCGTTTTATTCAAAATTATGCAAAGTTAAGATAACTGGTAAATAAATTACTTAAAAAAGATGCTAAGTTTGCATGGTCTGAAGACTGTCAAAAATCATTTGAAGAGTTAAAAAACGCGTTAATTTCCAAACCAGTTTTATGTCTTTTCAACCCACAAAGAAAATGTCATTTGTATGTAGATGCTTCTGGTGAGGCTATAGGTGCAGTCCTTAAACAAGAGCACTCAGATGGAACACTACATCCAATATCTTTTCATTCGAGGCAATTAAGAACTTATGAAAAAAATTATTCAATTACAGAATTAGAATGTTTAGCAATAGTAGATGCTCTTGATAAATATCAACATTCTCTTCATGGAACACCTTTCACCATACATACAGACCACACAGCTCTAGTTTGGTTGAGAAATGTGAAACATCTGACAGGTAGGTTATTTAGATGGTCTTTAAAGTTATCAATGTATGAATATAAGATAAAATATAAAAAAAGGAAGTACTAATTATGAGGCAGATATGCTCTCTAGAAATAAAATTTCTCACCATAATTGCTATTCAACACATTCAATTCAAAAAGAAAAATTAATTGAACATCAAAGGCTTGATAATGTAAATAATCTAACTTTAAGAAAATTAATGATGTTTTAACTGTAAATAAAAAGGGCTCAATTAAAATTGTAGCCCCCTCTCCTTAAAAGAAGAATTAATTTCAAAATTAATTCTTATTTCTTATTAATAAAATTAATTCTTATTTAAATAATTATTTCTCCATACTATTATTGGTCAGATATTACTAAGGACATTAGTTATTATGTTAAACACTGTGAAACTTGTCAGTTGAATAAGATATCACACTTGAAAAAATATGGTTTGTTACAGTCAATGCCACCCTGCAAATAACCTTTTGAGTTAATATCACTGGATTCTGTAGGTGGTTTCAACTATTATAACTCTTCTAAAAAATATTTGAACATTGTAATTGATCATTGTACCAGATATATCTGGGCTTTTTGTAGCAAAAATATTACATCAGAAGTGTACTCAAATTTGTTGAGGCCTTTATTTACATCCTATGCTCCAAAGGCTTTATTAACTTATAGGAACCCAGCCTTTACTTCTAGTCGATTTAAGAAATCACAATGTGAAACAATTGTTGACAACTAGTCACCATCCACAATGTAATGGAAAATCAGAAAGAGTAGGATAAGCAATAGTTACTAGATTAAAGTGTAAAGTAAATAACTTCTCTAAAAAAATTCCTTGGACTAAAATTCTTGAACAGGTTGTGTCAGAATATAATAATACTCCTCATGCTGTTACAACTTTTCCACCTGCTCATTTAATGTTTGGCTTCTTGCCTTTTGATTCCCCTATCGATCAACCTTTTTACCCCCCAGTAGAAAAAGCCAGAGAAATAGCTTTTGAAGAAACCAAGGAACATCATTTGAAAAATAAACTTAGATATGATTTAAAAATGCTGCTTTTAAGGTAAGAGATTTGGTAATAATGGAAGAATATAAATATCCTAACACTAGAAAATTAACTTCTCCTTATTCAGGCCCTTACACAATATTAAGGAAACTTTCAAATGTAAACTTTGAAATAGATAAGTATAATAATCAAACTGAAATCGTTCACTCCTCCAAATTAAGATATTTTCATCCAGCTGAAGAATTTCATTTAACACCAGAAGGTAAAAATTAAGATTACATTTTATGTAAATTTTAGTCAATTTCTGTTGTGATATTTTTGTAATTTTATAATAAGGCAAAATTGAATTTTGTAATTTATTAAAAATAACCTTGAACTATCATAAATAATATTAGAGAGAAGAATTATTCAAGAAAAATTGACGAATTTTGTAACTTGTTAAAAATAATCCTGGACTGTCATACATATTGATGATGATGATACGAAATATTACCCCCTTTTTAGGAAGATCCGACCCTTAAATTGTGAAAACCAGTGCAGTGCTTACCCATACCTGAGATAACAGGTCATGCGGGCGAAGTTTTATTTTTTCTTATTCTTCTTTTGTTTTTGTGGAAATATTAAACCACAACTGCATATAATTAAAGATAACACACTTAAGGTTGCTAGGATCTTCCATAACACTGATTGCTGTGATTCGGGCTGTTTTCCTCCTGTTGAGGAACAGGGTCCCTTATCAAGCAAATTCCCTTTAAAAATATTGGAATCCTAAATTCCAAAATCAAGACACAGATGTGTCCAAGGTTAAGTGATATGAGGTGAAGTGGAATTTATGTTTTTGAATTGTATTTTTTTTTACTTCATATTTTGATGTTTGTATTTTATAAAGGTGTCTATACTTAATCAAGGTTATAGTGACATGTAGTCACAAAGAATGAGAAGTGACAATGATGCCAAAAATGTTTAAGAAAGTGAGTCTTTAATTTTTAGGCCTAAAAATTAATATGTTTGTGGAAATGAGTACTAAAAATGAATATGTTTGTAGAAATGAGTATTAAAAATGAATATTTTTTGAAAATAAGAAAAGTAGTTGTAAAATATGTACTAGAAAGAGCAGTAATTACTGAGATTAAGAAGTATATTTGAGATTTATAGAAATGAAGAGGAGATTTAGTTTTTTTTTCTTCACATGAAGTATTTTTAAGGAGTTAAAGAAAATATTTTAGATGACTATTTTAAAGAATAACAGAAAAGAGAAAATATATGAGTATTTTAAAGTTTTGTAAGATGAAGATTTAAGAGTTTTGTAATGAAGTTTTTATAAGTATGCTAATGGATCCTCAATCAAGTGACTTATGTGACAAGGACTTAACCTAGGTAGCAATTTTTTAAGGCTTATTGTTTAGTTGCAACTACATATTTTAATATCAGATGTTATTTTAGCATCTTAAGAAGTAGAATATTGAGTGTTCTTATAAATATTTTTGTTTTTTAAATATGTTTGTTTTTTAAATATTTTTGTTTTTTAAATATTTTTGTTTTTTAAATATTTTGAGAGTTAGTATGAAACCATAGCAATTGAGGTAGTTTCATATGTTTTGTTAACACAACATTTGAATATTGTTTTAATTTTTAGATTGCTTTTGTAATTCAAATCATGTGATCTGAATCATCCAGATTAATAATAATTTTGAATAGTTTAAATAGAAGATGATAAGTAAGGATTTTGATCTTTCCTCAATGAGATGTGATATGGAGCCTGATCACCTCCGGGTCAACACCTTTGGGATATTGTGGGATATTGTAACATCTAAAATAATAGCTTAATTGAATTAAATGGATTTTAAAACTGAATCTAAAAGGAATTATATTTTAATTGAAAACTAGCCCTTCTAACAGATGAGAACTTTAAATAATCTCTTTCACATAATTAACTAAACTCTTCGCATATATATTAACTTTAATTGAATAGCAATGTGATCTTTATTTATAATATGAGTCCATACTGTGCAGTAAAATATCTTAATGAAGCCGAATTCCCATTAAAATCAATAAATATTTTGAGATATTAATTCATCCTCATCCAGTCGTATGATTTTACGGCGTCAATTCTAACAAAGAAGTCTGGATATTAGATTACATGACATGAAAGAATAACTGTATGTTACATGGAAAAAAGCACGCACTTGTCTTTTGGAAACGGCCTAGTAAATTTGTGCCCAGGAGCTCTGCTCCATGTATATAATTTATAAATAGCTTTTTAACTTTTTTTCTCAATAAAAGCCTAGAAAAATTATTATGTTGTTATCCTCATAAAAAAGGATATTGAATTACGACTGCAAATATTATAGACTGCATTATTATGATAAAATGAAAGACTCGACTCAAAAGTACTGCACAAAAACACAGATAGAAATCATTACAGGAAGAAGGCATGACATATATATACATATATATATACAAAAAACCTTTAACCTTGTTTATGATTGCGTTATTATATAATCAAGTTCATAACTATACAATTAAATTAAAATTGATCTCCAAGTTAAATAAATATATTATAATCCGTAAAACTTTGCATTTATAATACACCGAATGATACTAACTTGCATTCTGAGTGACATTGTGGTGGGACTGTAGATTTTTTCCTTCCACAAGGAACAACAACTTTACTAGATCCACAATTACAAGAAACAGTTACTTTTTCCTTACAAGGATAACAAGGTCCTGAAAAGTAAAAGTTTCTGCATTTTTAAACAAACATTTTTATTTAATTAATTGATATAAGAATGATATAAATCCTTAAACTTAGTTCTAAACAATCAGCCCTTATCAAAGACAGAAAATCCTATTTATTTGGGACTTACTCTAGAGGCTGAACTACGTTTCACTGAACAAATAAAGAAATGTGACAATAAAGCCCTCAAAAAATTAAGAATCTTGAAAAGCCTTTGCGGCACAAATTGGGGAGCATGCCCTAAAATCTTAAAAACTACCTACACCACATTGATTTGACCAGTTATAGAATATCCTTCGTCCATCTGGTCTCATGCCTCGACTTTGGTCCTTAAGAAGATTAATAACATACAGGCTAAGGCCTCAAAGATTATAATTGGTGCTGTCTCTTCCACAGACAGCATTAAATCACAACAGGAATGTGGTCTGCAGACGTGCCAACCTAGCAAAATTAACATTCAGGAGTTTCCCTAACAAGAATTCAGGAGATTTCAGGAGGGGTAAAAAAAGGTGCATGGTATGCAACATTTGGCACTTCTAAGGAATTTTAAGTAAAAAATTTATTAAATATAAGAATGCAAGAAATTTTACACACTAATAGAGCAATAATTGTTTAAAAATATTAAATGGAAATAAAATAATTAAACACAGATTTAGCAACACAAAACTATATTAGGTAGATACTCTTTAAATAAATACCATTTCCTTAATAAAACATTATTCAAAAACCCGACACTGTAATAAAAATACACAAAAACTTTTAAAAAATAAACAAATTGAATAAGTATTTTATTTTAAAAAACCAATTCAATACTAATGTCTGTACAATAAAGAACCAATTATCCGGGATGCTCGGGACCATCGCTATCCCGGATGTCTTAATTTCCCGGTTTCCTGGATCGACAAAAAAGTGTCGTTAATCGATGTTTTATCAAACCCAAATTACAAGGAAAAAATGTAAACACATTTTAAAGTAAGAGAAAAAAGAAAAGCACTCCTAAATCTAAAAAGGAAAAAAATTGTAGAAAAATAAAATTTAAAAGAATAAAAAAATTTGCAAGTTTAGACAAGAAAAACAAGTTTAAAAAATAATTACGATTCCTAAATCAACTAATAAACAAAACCAATGATTAAATAACGCAATATATTTCATGGGGGGGGGGGAAAATAAAAGGAAAACCTATTAATCTAAATAAAAACAACACTTGAAAATTATCGAACCGAAACGATAGTTAAAAAACGGCACTAGCATAAATATTAAAACCTAGAACAAGGCAAGATCAACGGACTTTAAAAAAAAAAAAAAAAAAAAATGAAAAAATTTGGTAATACAAATAATTTTATTGAGTGCAAAATTTATCATGAAAAAGAAAAAAAAAACGTAGTGGAATCAGAAAAACGAAACTGCAATCTGCTTCATAAAATAATTGTATGCTTAAATTAATAAACAATTCTCCTTTTTTTTTTTTTTATAAAAACGCGATTTTTAATTAAAGCAGGTGTGATTCCACATCAAGAAAAACTTGCGAATGATACCGCACTTCCAAAGAATCAGAATTTATTCAAAAGAAAAACATTTTATTTTTATTAATCGATGTCAAATAGATAAATATATTTTTCTCTTTCATCTTCTGTTCACTGATATGCATGTGCAATGCATTTTCCCCACCCCCTCGTAAATCAAACTAGCAAACGAAATCATCATGCCACTCCTTTGAGTTTAACGACCTAAAAGAGAATAAAGATCTAAAATCTTCAAGGTCGCGGAAGAAATGACGTTTCTCTGGGTAAACGGGGAAAAAAATTCTTCCCTTCCTCACATTTTCCTCTACTCAACTTCAAGGATTAGTCCAGTTTCCGCTTTTTTTTTTATATCGTTTTAGTTCAAAATGGCGGGAGAACCGAGCAAATTTTTTTTCCGGATTATCTGGATACCAGATAAATGGTTCTCTACTGTATGCATGAAAAAAAGAGTTGCAGACTTAGCTCTCCGCAATTAAGTCTTGCTAAAGTCATTGGTACATGATTTGTTGAAATTGATCCATACTTCCGTTTCGACTTAAGACATCCTTGAATTTTTTTTTTTTTTAAATATACGAAGACTAAACGAATAATTGATATCACGTTGCTAGTTTACGAGCTTGTTGCCAACCGTGGAAAAATACGCATTAAAAACTATAAAAACAGCAAGATACAATATCAATTCCAACTATCGAGAGTACGAGTTTCCCCACTCCTGAACGGACGTCACTCGATAACGACATGTGACGTCATTGCATTCAACTCCACACGAAAGAAGAGGAAGATTTCACCCGCCCCCAGTGTAAGGGGGCGGGTGAAATAGGAGTGTTAAGAGGTAACGTTGAAGAGGGGGGAAAATAAAGCATGTTCAGCTACGCTTCAGGCAGATGGTAGTTTGATAAGAGGGGATGGAATTCAAGCTGAAATAAAAACTTACTTTCGAGGAAAAATTAGGTAATTTTGAGTTTGGCTGTCGATCGCAGTAAAATTCGGGAGTTTTTCAAATCAATTCCGGAGGGCGGGAGAATAACTCAAAATTCGGGAGACTCCCGCAAAATGCGGGAGAGTTGGCACGTCTGGGTCTGAAATTACTCGATAATATAAGAAAATGTAGTGTCATCATCTTTACCAACAAGATAAGAAATCGTGAAGAGGAACATGGTAGCAAACAAACCTTTTTGAAGTGGAACAAAAATATAAAGCTCAAACGATCCTCCACCTTACAATATGACCTAACTGTCAGGCAGCAACTAACTGTTTGCCTTCACTGACGGTTCGTCAGATGAAACTCTTGACAACGGAGGAGCTGGTGTCAACTTTACTTTCCCAAAGAGTGGAAGCACAAAGCAATTTAAGATCTGAGGAGGCAAAATAGCTTCAAACTACACTTGTGAACTCACTGCCATCCAAAAATCCCTAGATGAGTATATAAATCTTGAAGAAAATGAAAGAACCAAAGGGTTAATCATCTTCAGCGACTGTAGATCTGCTCTTCAAGCAATTCAAAGAGGTTCTTCGGGGCTAACTATAAATATACACAGTACACTTTGTAAGATTTTCCATTTGAAGAAACAGTGCACCATGCAGTGGATTCCCTAGCATGTTGGCATTACTGAAAACGAGATGGCTGATGCCTTGGCAAAAGAGGCAAGGCAATTAAACACAAGCAAAGTTACTCTTGTCACTCTCAGCGATATCAATTCAGTGACTAAGGCAAAATTCACTGATAGGAAAATCCAAATCAAACAACAAATCCCTGAAATCAGTACCAATAGAACTCTCACCAGCACACTAACAAGACTCCAGACAGGACACTTTAGGGGATGAAGATTCATGGTGACGGGACAAGGACTTACTGCCTCTGCAAAAATTGCCCAGACATAGAACTAACCCCCATACATCTATCTTTTCAACTGTCCCGCTATACTGGCACAATTGCAGCAAATAAGTGACAATCCGTGGACGGACTTATATGAAGAAAATTACCTTCAAATAACAGATGTTGTATATAGGACCTTTGATCACATTTAAAATTATTTTCTGTCCATGACACGACACCAACCAACCATATAAGAATGATAAAATATAGACAGATATATTTTTTACATTATGTAAAAAATCTACAAACTTGTTACGTGTTAATTTACTTATTGACTAAATAGTTTATTATAATAAACAATAAAACCACTCAGTCATAGCAAAGCACCCAGTACTCATACTTTTTCATAACCTCAATCTTTTAAAAAGGATTCTTATTTAAAGGTAGGAATACTGCATAAATTTGGTTTGAGTTAGATGAAAAGGTGGGCACTTATGCTAATACCTTTATTTTAAAACTTCCCCACCACTGAAAAAGCTTTCATTTATAGCAGATTTAATGTGCACATTGCTGTATGTAAACACGCTCTCATTAGTTGGTTTAGTTTCAGCTTCAATTAAATAGGTGAGCAATACTCTAATAAGAAATGTCTTAGCATTAATAAAAATATGCTCTACAAAAGATTTCACCATCTTCAGAGAATATGTATCACATATATATTTTTTTTTAAAAAGAATATAGAGCCAGAAAATATTAGGTTTCACATGTATAATCACTTGAAATGAGTCAAGAATATTTAGTACTTAAAATTGTTGCAAAATATCTAAATGCTTGAAAAAATGATTAACTACAAATGTAAGGTGAAGAGAAAAATAATCGGAATCAAAGCATTTTTAACTTTACTTAGATTTCTTATTATATAGCCTGAAAAGAAAAACTTTTCAATGTTTTATGATACAATCCATCCACAATATTTGATTTTTTAGAGGTTTTACCAACATTTTATTGATGTGATTTTTTTTTGTTGCAACAACTCTTAGCCACGATAAATACCAAACATATATAAAATAGTTACACCTATTTGCAGCTAATTTCAAGTGAAATTTTCTTAAAGGTATTTTTGTTTTCAAATGGTGCAAAGCCTATAAAATACATTTCAGTAAACCAAGAAAATTTTACAATGGCTTTATAAAAAATAACCATTAGTTCAACAGGTTATTAAAATTTTATTAATAATACTGACTCTGTTATTGTAGTTGTTAATTTACGTCGCACTAGAGCTGCACAATGGGCTATTGGTGACTGTCTGGGAAACATCCCGGAGGATGATCCGAAGACATGTCATCGCAATTTTGATCCTCTGCGGAGGGGATGGCACCCCCGCTTCGGTAGCCCGACGACCTGCGCGCGAAGTCGAGCACTTTACGGTAGCACAGTTTAACGAGGACCAATACCGCACACCCTGGGTCCATATGCAGACTGATCCAAGTGGTCACCCACCCGCACACTGACCGCAGCCAGTGATGTTTGACTTCGGTGATCTACTGGGAACGGTGTCTTAACGATCAGTCCACTGCGGGACTAATACTGACTCTATTTAATGCGATTTAAAAATCAATGCAACCATTTTAAAGCAAATATAGTCCAAACTTATTAAACAAAATTTTTAATTAAAACATTATCTAAAGAAGTTGTAAACAGTTCAACTGAGGATTATAAAGCTTTTGGTATTAAAGAAAATGAAACTCTTGAACAGTAAAAAGATAAACTAAGGTTGAAGTTATCAAACTCAAATAAAGAATTTGCGAGTAAAAACTTCCTTCCTATACATAACAGAATGAGAGTGATCTAGATAATTTTTCAAACAGAAAAGAATTATTTACCTGTATGACACAAACTGGTACATTTATGTTTTCCACATTTTAGAGTCTTTCCACAAGGAACTTCACAAGGTGGACAATTACCAGTACAGCACTAATAAAGAATTTATAATTTGTTAATTTGTCTTTTAAAAAAAACAAATTATAATGCAATTGCAAAAAATAAAAAAATATTTTATCCTTTTTTTTTCTTTTATCAACCATAATTTATTCAGGGCACAATATCTTTATCTTGTCAGTAAACAATGTTTTTAAAATAATACAAATGGTTATTATATAAGCAACGAATCAACAAATGATAAAACAATATTTATTAAAAAAGATTAAAGTTTCAATTCTTCTTCGAACAATAAAAGTTGAACAGTGAAATGCTGAAACAACATTCGCAGAACAGAATATATTAGTAAGATTTGTTTTGATTTGAGACTTTGTTTTGAGTTAATTAAAAATAAAAATAAACCTTTATTTCACACCTCATAAATATATATAAGGAAAGAACAGTTCTTTTGTTTAACTTACATTCTTTAAAATTTTGTTGATAAATACTGTTTGATAAGATATCAAATAAGTTTTTCTGCGAATGAGACATTTAAAACAAAAATTAAATTTTCATTGCACTTTAATATATATGTCTTCAGGAATTTCTGTTAGCAACTTTTCATAAATTATTACTAACAATCAAGTCAAATTAACAAGAAATAGCATATGAGAAAAACAAATACTGTAGAATGTGGATAATTTGGCTCAGACACACACACACACACACCTCATTTAGTAGCTCAGCTGTACTATCATATTTTCCTGAATGATATTTTTCATGAATATTGACGTTTGCAAACACTCAAAGTTTGTTGCCAAACTTTGGCACGTCAAACCGCAACCATCGAAAATTGAAAAAAAAGGTATACAATCCAATTCTGCGAGTTTTATGTTAGTAATATTCCAAAAGCTTATTTAAAGTAGAACAAACTTGCATCATTATTATAGATAAAACTTTTTGTTTGTAGTAATTATAAATTAATCAAATTTATCACAAACTGTCATTCGGTGAGGTAACAGTAACAATGTCAATGTTTCATTACCAGACGCAGATCTAAAAAGTAAATGTCAAAATATATCATAAATTATGAGCACACATTTGTCTAATTTATTTTCTGTGTTGTGTGCATTGCATTGTGTTGCATCTGAGTAAAGTTTTCGATCTATTCCCTAGGTTGTCCAGACCGTAACCCTGTCGCGAATTGCCAAACCATATCATAGATTATAAATTTGGCGATAGCAGGTGGAGTTGGCGATGGATTACGCGTAAATGTTGTGGGAGAACGAAATTCCATTAACCTAAACAGTGTAATTCGATATTCTTTTTCTCCTCCTCAACTAGCCATGATGAATAAAAATAACTCATTAATTCTTTTTAGTGAAGAATAAAAAAAGAAAATAACCTTTTTATTGTTAGGATCATTTTACAAATACACTGCATTTATATTTTATTAAACGCAATAATTTATATTTAATTAAACGCAATAATTTATATTTTATAAAACGATCTAGTTTTTTGATATAACAGATTCAATTTTTTAATTTTTTTTGCAAGAATTGTGTTTGCGAAGAAATAAAAATAATTTCTAGATGAACCAATCACAAAAAATAACGTAACATTTTAATACCATGTTTTATTGGAACGCTATTTTGAATAATTAATTCTATTTAACTTTTATTGTAAGAAAACATAACCTGTTTCATTTTAGAGATCTTCTCTATTAAATCAATATTCTCTATAAAAGAATAATGTAAGCTTTTTTATAGTTTTTTTTTTTTAGAAATTAATAAAGACATATTATTTACCAGAAAAAATTAGAGTATTCAAAAATGTTATCACGCTTTAAAGTAATAGTTTCTTGCAAACGAAATAATCGATATTTTTAAAATAAAGTTTGAAAGCGTTTGTTTCATTACTAGAAGCATTTATAGTAAAAAAAATATATTAAATTACTTTTTTTTGCATAATTTTATTAAATTACTATAGATTGCATACAGGTTATTCTGCAACGATCATACGTAACATAAATTCATAAATCCCTAAATACTGTTACATGAGTGTGGTAATTAAAAATATAATTAAAAAATAACGTAATTAAAAAATAACATAATTAAAAAATAACATAATTAAAAAAATAACATAATTAAAAATATTGTCAACCTTCAATTAAAAACTTCCTGTTGTGAAATATTAATAATAATTATAATTTTTAACAAATTTTTAGGCACAAATTTTTAATTCTTGAACTTAATACAGTCCTTCATATGAAAATATCAGAAAATTTATAAAAGAAAAACTATATTTTAAAATTGAGCCATTGGCAACAACAGGGGTTAGATGTATGTGCTAAGTTTAAATAAATTATATGTTATATAACTCACATTTAAGACTTAGATCAATTATCAGATCATAAGAGAGTTTTTTAATAAATAAATGTAGTGATTGTTTGATTTATAATTCTAAGTCCTGGGTGTTTAATGTTAAGTTATACATTTCTTTTGAAATAATTTTTGAAATATGCAAAGCAGGGCGGCATTCATTTCAACTTAAAAATCATCAACTTATCTTTAAATAACCATAGATAAATAAAAAACAAAAGTTAGATAAAAACTTTAAATGAAATACTTTTAGAAACATTCTTTCTAAATAATATTTAAATAAAACATAATCACTTCGCCTGAGTGATTTTGTAAGGAATTCTAAACTTTTTAATTTTACAAGTTAGGTGAAAATTAATTTCTTACAATAGTGGTAGGGAATTAAGGAAATTCTAAATCTAAAGTTTGAGTCCTGGAACGTAAACATCTGATCATTAGATCAAAAGTTAGTTTTAGATTTTTTGTTTACTGCTCACTGTACACTAAAACGTGATTTTTTTTTTCTTTTGAAATTTTGATTTTAATATCCTTACTTCAACCTCCTTCAAGTTATGCTTACTTTATAAATTTAATCTCAACTTTATTTTTCTCTTCACTTTTAAACTGTAAAAGACTTTTTCTCCATTTGTAAATTATGAAAAAAGTTATTAATCTGATTGCGTAAACAGTTAATTCATTAAAATTAGACATTCTCAATTAATTCCTTTTAATAGTCATTTATATTTTTAATAATAATTATTTACGCAAAATTATAATAAAGGAAAGTTTGATTAGAAATTTAAAAGTTTCTGCTGCAATAATTAGGGAATTTCTATTGACAAAATTCAAGTAATTTTTTTTCCGGAGCAAAATGCATTTTTATTTAAAACGGAACAATACTGACTTAATATTTATACGATAAAAGACTCTCTAATCGCTAACACCGATGACAGGAAAAAATTTCGTTCTTTTTTCTTTCGCACAAAAAGTTTATAACTTAAATTATTGTTCTTTCATTATAAAGCAATCGTATAATATTCTCAAATCAAGTAAAACTTTATCAAGTAAAACTTTATCATGTAAAACAAGTATCAAGTAAAACTTTATGACGAAGTTACTTACCTACCGTTTTACAATTATAAAATGAAATAATTATTGAATTCTACTTGCATTTTAAAATGTAATTCTCAATTGTTCAAATTATTATTATTATAAAACTGTGTATAATGAACATTTCAACTAAAATAATTAGTACAAATTAGCTGCTAAAAATTCTCTTAAACATTTATAAGTATTATGCATTTATAAATTTCAGCTTTTCGCATTATTGCTAAATAATCTCTGCGTCGAAAAATATTTGAAGAATTCCATAATAACTGAAAATTAAATAAAATTTTTAAAAAAATTGTAAATGGTTATCGAGTAGAACCATTAAGTTTAATTAATGAATATAGAATTGGAAATAAAGTCTCTGCTAAACAATAAAAAAAAAATTTATTTTTTAAGTAAACAAACTTTATTGTAATAATCATTTCATTATTAAGGATTAACGGTTAATGTGAAATTATTAATTTTAATTAACGGACGAGTAGGTAAAGAAGTTCACTACTCGAAATACATTTAATGAAAGTTATGAAAATATAGAGGGGGCTATGGAGGTATAATACATAATTTTTTTTATCTTAGTTTTATTACGACCTTCTAAAAAACGCTAATAAACACAATTATGTTAACAGATACAAACAATTATGTCGGCGCTATAACAAAAAAATACGCTTTACATTTAATTTAATGCAGAAGAATCTAATGAAGATCCACTTATTTGAAACTCTGAAATGTCACACCCATATATAACTTGGTGAATGATAGATACGTGATACCGAAAACAAAACAAAAACATAAGCACACAGCTGTTGGGCGATTAGCGAGAACGCTCCTTTAACGCCAATGGAAATTTTCGCCAACCCTTTTATAATCTATGGTATGGTTTGGCAATTCGCAACCCTGTCAAACCGTAACCTCAGGATTAATTAATTGAATTTAACATATCAGAAATTAGTTTTTTCCCTATGTTTTACTAATTGAAGATATTTTTTGACTGAAAATAATTAAAGTAAGCCTTTTTATACATTTTATAACTATTTAACTTAATATAAAAAATTTTCAATTTATTTATGATACCAATAATTTTTGATGAAAAATAAAGGGTAAATATGGAAAATTCAAAATTTTAAATTTTTTGTTTATACTTATAAGGGCATCAAAATTTTTGATGTTCACAATTATTTTCTGATATTTCATACATTTTCAAACAATTGTGGAGGTGTAAAAATAGTGTGCCTATTATTTTTATAAAATTTTTTTTAATTATCAAAAGTTAAAGTTTCTAGAGATTTGCCCATATATGAAATAAAATGTTTAGATAAATTTCTAGACATGAAGACATGACAGAATCGAGAAGTGAGTTGGTTATGATCTTACTCACTTCTAAAACCTGTCACTTATAACTTTCATCTTAAAGATTAAGTTTACCTCTCATTGAATATACATACTTCAATTTTCAATGCTTTGTGAAAAAGGTGTCATCTGATATTCTCTAGTTTCTTTTTTGAGAGCAAGTCAAGGGCTAAAGCAAAGTTTGAGGTATCTTTCAACGAGCCTGCAAAAACTGCTCCTGCACTGTCTGCATGGTCTGATCCCCAGACAAAGCTGCTGTGCACATTAGTACAGTACATTCTACCTTTTTACTGTGTTTTCCTTTTATTGCGTGTTAGTGTTTCAATGGATTGTTAAATTGTTATTTTGTCTTAATTTACATTGTCATCCTATATTTTTTCCAGATATAAAATTAGCAACTTGGGGCTCTTTTAGCTTGGAATTATTTGTTCTATATTTTTCAATTCTCTGTATATATAGTTCTATATGTACAAAGTGTAATAGTTTACTGTTAATATGGTTCTGTTATATTAAATAGTTCTGTTTCATATTAAATTATGTTTAATACACACACACTTTCCTATTATTATAATAATAATAATACATAACTTTTTTTTAAAAATTTATATAAAAACTGAACTTTTTTGTTCAGTTTAGAAAATATGCTAAAATTAATGAAGACCCTTACATATCTTTAACCATTTTTTTTTTTGGAAGATACTCCACCTTACTTAATTGATTTTGAAATACAGTAAAATATCTGAGAATTCTGTCTCAAAACATTTCTTTTCCCTTCAAAATTTTTCCATTAAAAATGTTTTAAATTTTTTTTTATTTAAAGAGAAACAAGGTAGTAAAAATGGGATTTTGAAGTTAAATACAAAATTTGAACTATACCTTTCTATTGCAATTATGCCGTCCGCAATCTCTACGTCCTTTGCATTTGGTGTCACATAGATATTCTTTACTACATGGTACTGACTTTTCACGCAGTCCACATCTGCATTTTTTAAACTGCATTTGAATACACTAAAAAGAGAAATATATAGAAGAAACAAGTATAAAATGTTAGCACACTATATTTCTTTAAGATTTTTATTTAAGAATTACTAAATTTGTAACAAAATTGATGATGCTGCAATAAAATTAAAAAATAAGAGGACCATCAACTTACAGTTAATTAAAAGCGCTAAGTACATTTTCAGTGTTTTTTTAAAAAAAAAATAATAGAATTTTTCTACCTTTTTAAAAATAGAGAAATTTTTAAGAACATTTTAAAACACCAATAGATTTTTTTCCAGGTGTAATGTATGTGAAGTGGCAGAAAAGTGTAAAATAACAAAATAACAATGGAAAATTTACTAAGAATAATAAAAAATTATACAATTTGTCTTTTTTTGTGAAAAGCTAATATAATATTCTAATGATACTTTGTTTGAAATATTTATTTTTTCTGATATACTTATACATTTGAAAATAATTCATTTAAAGAATATATTTCAGATTTGGTCAATTCTTTCCAGAACTACTGGGCATACTTTAATGAAATTTTTTATAAACATAGTTTGATATAATACAAATAAAAAAAAGCCATACAAGAGTTACAATACTCCCCAGATGATCTTACTTGACTCTCAGAGTCAGACGGCATGAAACAGTGGTCATATAAATAACAAAAAAGGGGGTTAAAACCTGGTATGGCTATCTCTTACAGAAAAGTAGGCCATATAATGTGACTTCAAATTGAAAATAAGGTAGTTTAAAAGTGAAAAAATTGTTCCCACTGGATCAGCAATACTATTTTCAGACTGTAGATAGTTTTCAGCAAGGAATTGCAACTCTCTTCCTCCAGACAGCTCTGTGAGGATGAGGTCTGGTAACAAGATCCTTCTGGCAAATACTCTCACTTTAAAATCATAGACCAGATGAACTCTATATAGTCCAACAATGTTGTCTATTAAAATGAACCGAGGGTCAACTGCACCCTTCAGAAGCAAACATAGGGCTCCAAACATATATCAACGTATTTTTAAGCAGGTGAAATGCTTGTCTGAAAAATATGGAAGGTATACTATCATTCAACAAGAAGCTTGCCCATAACACAAAAACTCAGTTTCTCAGATATTAGAAGGCAGAAAAAATCCCTGGTCCTCCTCATATGAAAATATGATCCATTTGAACTTAAAACTTTTTATCTGTCCTGAAGTATCCAATAAATCAAACATTATAAGAGAAGAGATGATGGTCAGGGTAGTATTTTTTGTTGAATAGTTGTACACCCTTTCATGTCTTTGGGAGAGGCGATTTGATTAGTTTGAAGCAAAGAGATAATGCTTTGGAGCCCTGGTTACAGTTAGCTGAGATTTTAAGTTAAAAGTATTCACCAGATGGACTAGATAGCAAGGTTTCCAGATTCCAGCTTTTTAATACATGCCTAAAAGTGTCTGGAGATTCCAACTTGCAATTCTTAATTGAAAATCATCTAGGGCAAGAAAACAGTGTTGCTGAACAAGTTTAAACAATTGCCACATAAACATCTAAACTGTCTCATTTCCAGATCCTCTTTACGAATATTATTAGTTAAACAGCTTCTAAGATATGAAAATTGGAAGGTTATTTATTTTTTCTGGAACTATTTAATTAGGTTTTCAATGATAACATAGATCATTTGTAACAATTAATTAAATAATTTTGAGTGATGTTTAAATTTTTGAATAGAAAGAAAAAAATCATTTAAAACACAATTTTGACACTTAAGTAACTGTAAGCTAGTGAATTGTATAAAAAGCAAGAAAACAGTTTTAGCGGAGATTTTTTGGGGGGGGCAAAAACTTTGATTTTCCTTTCTTGAAGAAGATATAGTTGTTTTAATAGGTTTTCACTAGAATTTTTCTTGGAAAAAATCCTGTGAGTTAAGCTTTTATAAGAAATGGAATTTTTTCTGACAATAAATTAAATTAAAATTAGATTTGCAAAGCGCTTGAAAACTAGGAACACTACCCCTACAGTATTAAAAAACATTCTAATTTTTCAATTTGATCATGCATGAAAACTTGTTTTCTGAAATATTGTCAAGGTACATTTCGATCAGAAAATCAGCGAGAAAATAATATATTACATTCAGTAAGAAATATTTCACCTCTTCACAGGGACCAAAATGACATCTCTGACTGCATTGATGGATGGTGCAGAGTAACAATTTATTACAAGTATCACCACAGGGTAATACATTTTCAGTGCAAGGTAACATCATTTTCTTTTTTCCACATGGGCAATGCCTCTCCCCAGAATTTGGACAGGGAGAACAAGGTCCTGAGTGACATACCAGGTTGCAAAAATGATTACCACATTCCAAGGGTTTATTACAGACTTTATCACACTTCCAAATCACATCAGTACAAGGTCTACTCTGAGATTTAGCTCCACATTCACAGGTTTGAATTTTTTGTAATTTACATGGAGGGCAAAAACCTACACAAGAATATAAAAGGTTCATTATAAAATTTTTCTAAATAACACGTAGAAGAGGGTGCATATCAAACACTACCAAGTCCAAGTCAACGAATTTAATTACACATAGAAACACTCAAGGGAGTCTCTATTAAAGGGGTTTCAGACGTTTAGTACCAGAGCACATTCCAGAATAACAACCAGACAGCAGTCTGATAATGTCTGTAAGATAATTTTTATGTGATATTAAGGTGCGCACAACCAATTTGGTATTGCCAAGAAAAATCATGTACCTAAGAGTATAAATGATTTATAGCAATATTGGTATAACAATAAACTAACAAAACGTATTTAAAATACCCTTAAAAAACAAAATTATTATCAAGATACTTTTTTCAACTTAAATTCAAAAATAGACCAAGAACAAAAAGTGAGCACCAATAAATTAACTTCTAGTGATCAGTGACAACCAGATGAATTTTTCAGTTTCGCTCTTACTTAGAAAAATAGCATTCATTTACTCAAGACATTCAATTCGAATACTCAAAGATTAACTTTTTCAAACTAAGTAATCTGATATCCCCCATGGCAGAATCACAGCGACACGACGACATTGCCGCAGTATGTTAGAGTTCTTGTAGAAAGATTTTTCTTTTGAAAAGCAAAATAAAAAATTGCTTTTCTTTTTAACAGAAATTTGCATGTAATATCCGAATTATGCATTCTATAATCACTTTTTCATGCATTTAGATGATCAAAATTTAATCTCGAACCGAAACACGCATTTCAGGAGTCTGATTTGTGTGATTTTGTTGTCTATCTTTTTTTCTGGCAATTACTACTACAGATTTCGTGATATTTCATTATTTCTTTTAATTGAGATGACTATTTACAAAATGCAAAGAAGGAAATAACTTGGGCACCCCCCCCCCCCCCCCCNCTCCCCCCCCGACAAAATACAAGAATATCACCCATAATATTAGAATATAAATTATTACATGTTCAATTAAAAAAAATTATATAGTTTTTGTTACTTTAAATCAGTAACATATATGTTTGTTATTATTAAAAGTATCTTTTCAGAAAAATATTAGTGCTAGAAAGTTTTGTGGCAGATAGTTCAAAAAAATTCTGATACAGGGCTGATATCTACAAAATCAATTTTGTACAAGCAATTAAGAATGTGTTGTTCTTGCATGGATTAATATTTTTAAAATGATTCAAAATAGAAAGCTAATATTTAGACCGAATTTCACACTTCTTTCTAGACAGTTTGTAGTTTGCCTTCTTTTTAATACATATATTTTTTAAGTTTAATATTTTATGCAATTGCTTTAACCGTAAAGGTTTAAAGTTAATTTTAAGTTTGACATTTTATTAAGTTTAGTTATTAATTTAGCAATTTAATCATGTTATATTGAAAACATTATCAGAGGAAAAATAGGATTTCCAAAATTTCAAAAAAGATAGATTCAGATGTTATCAGATTAAAAAGCAACAATAAAAATTATAAAATTCCTAAAAAACCATATTTTTTCAATCATTATGCTGAACTAAGAAGATCCATTATAAAATTGAAAATCTTTTTAACAACATTCAATTACAAAATTATTTTAATTATATACAAACCTTTGTGACATAATTCCTGACAGTAATGTACATTACAAGGTAAAACTTTCTGACACTTCGTTCCACAAGTCCATTCTTTATAACTGCACCGTTTTAGAGCTGCTTTACTTTTAAGACAGCAACAAGAAATTGCAACAGTTTTAGGACATGGTGGGCATGGACCTATTACAACAGAAAATAATCTAAATTAATTAAATGTAAAAAGAAATCTTACTTTAACTACTGTGCAAAAAAAAATTTTAAAATCATAAAAAGGTATCACCATTGAGGTAAGAGAAAAAAACCTGTATGATAAAATTGAGATAAACATTACGTTTACAAGATACTGTATATTGGCTATGCTACACTAAACCAGAATTTAGTGTAGTATACAATTAGGGAAGTTATTCAAATAATTCTAGAAACTAAGTTTGATACAAAAATATGAAGACAAAAAAAAAATATATCTCAATTGCTCCAAAGCATCAAGGAACCTTTGTTTACCTAAAAATGGAACACCCTCAACAGATTAACAAAGTATATTAATAACATAAATTATGATTGGATCATTTGTAATCATTTTATAACAGTTCAAAGAGAAAAAAATAAGTTAAGAGAGTTTATTTACCTGGATGACATAACAAAGAGCAGGAATGACCACAATCTGGCACCAATCTTTTTTCACAAATTTTTCCACAAGAGTGAGGTACACCCCATGTATCAAATGAAGGATTCTCGACTTTTTTACAAAAACAAAAATATTTAGAAGGTTTGTCTGAAGGTAAGTAATCAAACCTACATTTTGGACTAAGGAAGAACAAAAAAAATTAATGTTACTCAGCAGTTACTAGACATAAAAATATTATTTAAAAATGAAAAAGAAAAGTAGTGTTGCTATTGGAAATTAAAATACATTAATTACATAATACAGAAATACACTAGAAAACAGTTGTTATTCATGTAAATTGTACATTCAACTATAAATGAAAGTAAAACAAAAATATTTTTACAGTAATATTTGCTATTTCAAATAAGAAACAAATTTTTTAATACATTTTCAACAATGAAATAACTTTAAAAAATTGATTAAAGCACAAAACAATATAATATAATGCAAATTTAAATCCTCAAAGCAGAGTAGAGATTTGGCAGGTTTCCCAGTAACTCATTGTAGCATTAAAACTTTTTATACTTGAATACAGAGTCACTGCTAAGGTAAATGGTTCAAAGTTAAATTTAGATCAGCTTATGAAATAACAGTGATAGATTTTATATATTATGTAAACACATACATAGGGGTCAACGTATCTTGGTCACCATGGCATCGAAAAGATTGTACAAGAAAAATAAATAACTTCGCACACAGTGAGAAACTCATTTATACAAAGATAATTAAGTGCAAAATATATATTGTAATACTTATTTATAATATTATTTAATAATAATCCAAAAATGTTTTAGTTGTTAAGCATATAATTAAGTAACCATAAAATTTGGGCAAAATTGGATAAATAGTTTCTGAGTAAATTCTAAGTTCTCAAGAGCTATTCCATTGATTCCATTTAAAATATATATTTTGTGAATTAAAATTACAGTTTAAAACTATGTAAATATTTGTGTATGTTATAATTTTAAAAAAATCACACCATTATTATATTATATGAAAAAAAATAATCAATAACGATATTTTTTTTTTTTTTTTTTTTGAGTTTTGAATTATCTTTGGAAGGATGAGTTTAACAGTTAGTGTTCAAAAATTTTGAAATTCTCTTAAATAGTTGTAGAGATGTGGCAAAATAAGCAAAAATTGAAATTAACATTATGGGGAACTTTTGACCGCTGAATTGACTAAAACATTATTTTTTTATCCCATGCTTAGCTGCCCCAATCGGCCATGTGCTGTCTTGCAGTCTAATACAATGTGAAAAACAAAGAGAAGAAATTTCCCCAGAGTTAATATCGTTTAAGAGATGTTGTCTGTTCAAGGAGCCTTTAACATACAAAGGGCATGAGGCAGAGGCGGCTATGCCGATTCTATTGAGATGCTGATGGAGGTAACCTGTCAACATTTGAAAGCTGGAAATACCTTTATTCCAGGATAAATCATGGAAAATTCCGTTTTAAAATTGTAGAAGATACTTCCAACTTATCCAAGCAACTAGATTAGTATAAAGATGCTTCCTGGAGTTTTTAAATTTTGTCTTGTCAAGTGCTTTATAATTTCTTATGGAAAGAGGAGAGTGGCGTTGTGGCAAATGCATTTAGTTAGAGTATCTGTTACTTGCAACCAGGAATAGAGACATGGCTTGAGATTCACTGGGTTGCAATCCTTTTATTGTTTTCAAAGAGATTGCTAATAGCTTCTTTATTTAGAACCTCTTCAGAAGAATGTTTTCTATTTACCAAGACCTAGATGAATTACCTTTTTGAGTGAAGGGCCACTTACACAGCAGGTAGAGTAATGAGGGGCCGCATGCATATTTAGTCATGTTAGTGGCAAATATGATAATTTTTATAAAAACATTAGTATTCTAAGCAGTTTTTTATCATTTAGATTAATAACATATTTGCAGAAAATTAAATACCCTTAATTACTTGAATTTATTAAAAAATAGAAAAAAACTGATAGCTAAACTGCAAATATGATAATTTTTATAAAAACATTGGTGTTCTAAGCAGTTTTTTATCATTTAACTTAATAACATATTTGCAGAAAAATTAAAGTTAATTATTTAAATTTGTTAAAAAATAAAAAAATTTATACTTTTAAAAAATTTTCACATTATATATATATATATATACAGTCAAACCTCCTGTTATGGACACTCCTGCAAAATGGACGCCTCTCAATACGGACATATTTTTAATTCCCCGGGAATCTTCTATGAATAAACCATTACGTACATTCTCCGCAAAGCGGACACTCCCATAATCGGACGCGGACAGTCATTTTGATCCTGAAACGTTGTTTTTTATCTCTATAAACCGGACACTACTTTTTCTAAATAAATTGCAAGCTAAAAAAAATGCAACTTTTCTCCATTTTTTAAGCATTTATATGCTTTAAAAATGGAGAAAAGTTGCAGTTTTATTTATATAAAACTTTTTGCCCTATCCATAACTAAAAATATTGTTAAGCTATTTCACCACTGAAAAATCAATCTTTCTCTTGCCTTATCTTTGTAAAGAAAGGAGAGAAAATGGTACTGCACTCCTGAAATAATTCTGACATCGGCATCTTTTGATCTTTTCATCTGGACCACACAGGTTATGAGACCCCTCAAGTTGAAATGACTTCTCTCAATGCTTCTTCCCCATTGAAAATTTCTTTAATTTTCTTATCAATTTGAAGACTGTATTTAACACAACTGGGGTAAAAAAAAGAGAACAGAAGTATAATCTTTGAGGTGTTTATATAAATGAAACATTTATTCAGACACTTGATAGCTGATCAATTGTGAATAATCATCTCCATAGGTCCTCATGACTTACAGGTATGCATTACTTTTTTTTCTGTGAATCATGGGAGGTTTATTTTCCAAGAAGGTATTAACCATGTTCCCTATCAAATGATAAGTAGGTGTAAGGGGATGTGAACCTAATAATTGAAACGGACTGAGGACAGTACGCTCCTATTTGGTATCATATGTCTAACTTGAGTATCTATGCTAATAGGAAAATTATATTTATTTATCTGTAGCTACATCCAGAATTATGTATTTATATCAAACTTCTTTATATATTCTTTTTTATCTTTCTCATTGTTTAAATAAATATTCTTGTGGATATTTACAGTATCCTTGTAGATATTATTTAATTATTTCTACATCTTTGAAAATATTCTAAAAACAATTTACGGTGTTAAATTTCGTTATTAGGGTACCTTTCCCGTAAACGGACAAATTTTTTGGTCCCATGAATGTCCGCTTAGCGGAGGTTTCTCTGTATATATAAGCACATCGGACAAAAAATTAGTCACCCCTAGAGAAATCATGAAAAACATCACTTAATAACGTGTAACACCACCTCTGGATTTGATAACCGCCTGGATTCGATTAGGAAATGAGTCCACAAGGTTTTGCAGGTATATAGAATCTAGTTTAAGCCTGTATTTGATCACTCAAATCCACTAAATTTCACGAATGCTAATTTCGACATCTTACCCGTTGTTCCAATATGTCCCGCAAATTTTCAATGGGGATCAAGTCAGGTGATTTTGCAGGCCAGTCGAGATGTAATTGAGTGTCTGAGTGTTCATAAAACCAGTCACATATTCTTCCAACCCGATGAACTTTGCTGCTGTCATTTTGAAAAATAGGGGTATTGACAGCATACTCTTCATGAAGATGACTGAAAGGCAACACCTGATCTTTCAAAGTGTTCAAATAAACATGTCGGTTCATTTTAGTGGCCATCTCAGTGAGGGGACCCAATCCATAATAAGAAAAACACCCTCAAAGCATGACAGACCCCCCTCCGTCTTGAACCTAAACTTGCACACAGTCAGGAGGAAATGCTTCACCTGGTCTACCGTGCACTCGATGATGTGCGTCATTTTAATAAAGGCAAACACGTGATTTGTCAGATCATATTACATTCCGCCAATCAGCAACTGTCCACGTTCGGGAACTTCTAGCCCACTGAATTCGAGCATCTTTATGCAATTGTGTGAGCAGTGGCCTCTTACGAGGTGTTCGACTCCAAATGTTCTTTGCATGCAGCTCCCCTCTCAATGTTTTCTCCCTAACAGGTTGGGATGGACTTTCATTCACTTACTGATGCAGATATATATAGATACACACATATATATAAATATTGGGGGGTATAAATTCTAACCAAAGGGGAAAAAAGTGTAGAGCTTACAGAATGGAAGTTCAAAACAAAAATAAAAAAAATACACATTTTAAAGAGTAAAATAAATTTTAATTACATATTTTTATTAAAGAAAATTTATAATATTAAAACAAATATCAAAGATTAAGACAAATCCAGTATAGTTAAAAATAAAATTCAATATTTATTTAGTATTATTTCCATATTGAATTATTGGATTATGAAGATTGAATTATTAGAGGTTTTAAGAATGTTAAATAGAAAACATTTTCGTTCTAGTTTTTTTCCTAAAAAAATGGCCCAAGTTAAAAAAAATTTAAAACAAAATAAATTCCAAACAGTAAACAGTTCAAAAACTCGCACTTTTCTCAAGCTTTAGAATTTTTCATTGAGCAATAACATTGTATTAAAATATCAGGATTCTAAATACAACGTACAAATGTAAGGTGCTAACTACCAAAACAACAAAAAAATGACTTTTTAAGATGAAATATACAGAAATAAATTGTATCAAATAGTGATGATTTAAATTCGGGATTAGAAATTTGCCTGTTGTATTAAAATCATAGTTAAATTAATGGGATTGTAAAAATCAAGAAGAAAAGCATCACAATAATTGCAAAAAAAATAAAGATTAAATTTAGGATGAAAGTAGCAGAAGTAAAGTGCACAAATAAATAATTATTGAAATACGGGATTTAAAATTCGCATGTTGTAGTATAAATCAGAATTTTTAAAGCTATGAGAGAATGCATTACAGAAACTGCAGAAAAAAATTGTTAAAAAACAACTGGGATTTACAGTGCAATTGGCACAAATTAAGTACGACAAAAAAGTGATCAGTTAAATGTGAGGTTTATAACTCATGAGTCGTAATATCGTAATAAATATATCTGGAATTTATAAACCATGTGGAAATTAGCAGTTACAAATGCCAAAGAACGATCTAAACATCACTCGGATTTATGATGAAA